TCGCCAGGCAACTCTCACGGCGCTAACCCTAATCCTACTCGCCCTAACCCGGACCGAGCCAGAGAAGTATTAGCACTCCAGACCCCGTGTAACAAGAAGTTGTGGACTGTCTGATCGTGAATTAATCGCATCGTTGTAAAACCACAAAAATTCTCACCACCAACAACATCACGGTTAAGACTGGGGAAGTACTGGATACAGATGAATCATTAGTGTAACTATAATTTAGGAGGGGCATGAGGCAATATTTCATTACTGAAATCATCGTGGTTCAATTTTAAGGAAAAAAGCCAACCCTGAATATTCACAGCAAGATAAGACGTAGCTCCTCTCTAGACAAATCAACACTTAAATAAGCTGAAGTCACCTGTTCTAAATGTAGAAGGAATCTTCCTGATATAGAGCGCCTCAAACTATTTTCTTTTCCCATCGTTTTGTCATTTCTTCTTCTCGCTAAACAACATCTTTCTGAATCACAAACTAGCTGCTGTATCTGGAAAATCTTGAATTGAAATAACCTCAACACCAGCATTACTTTCAAAACAGTACATCTCAATTCATCAAGCATCAGCATGATCAAGTACATTACTGTTGGTGGCACATATAATTCCCAACTTCACGTCTTCATCTAGAATTTCGACACTGGGACCTTGACAACCTTCCACCCAGCAAAGAACAAATCACTTAATGCAAGATTCATGAGCTGCAAAACTCCAAAATTCTTCATAACATTTGATATCAAGTTTCCAAACCAGCTTCCCGTCGAAAGTCATCATCCTACCTAACAATCCCCTCTCAGATCTTCCCTCTCCTACTCTCCCACATCCAAGGAAACCTCACTAATGACTAGACGCACCATCACGCGTCGGTCAATGATCACCGTTCAAGCTAAAGAGCCAGGGTATTACGATGGAATACCAAAGCAACACATGTACACGTCATGGATATTTCAAGAACGTCGCACCCAGCCTCCCTCCCCAGCCTTCTATATCCCACCCGGAAACCGCGACTGCAACGTCGTAATCTCACCTTACCCAATCTCACATCCGCATGTCGGACGATCTACCACGATTCTAGCTCGGTAGACTAATGCGTAGTGGTAAAGTCAACCTGTCCGCCGCAGGACAAAAAAAATGACACACGGGAAGATCAATCAATCAAACTCAGGTCTTCCCCGCTTTTAGCACTATGACGATCGATGTAGTCTTGACAGGTATGCCGGATGACACAAGATCTAAGAGCGGCATGTTTAGTGATTCCTGAGCGAAGAGCCTCACCGCTGGGGATTTGGTAAAAAAAAATAAACTAGGAAAGATAGACTTTTGCTGGCATATTACTGATTAGATCACATGTGTAAAGAAAAAAAGGGTCCAAGGCACCAGAGTTGTGAAATCGTGTGTATAAACCGAGCACTGGAAATCTTGGCTTCATCAAACTTTGTAAAGCGCATGTAGACCGCCGAAGCGTTATCTTGGCAGTAAACAAAGTAGGTATGTGGCGTGCTTGTCAATACCAAGCATGATCAGCTGCAAGGGCTATGTGAAGTCTAGAACATGGGGTAGTGGGCAAAACGCGCGGCCAGACTGTTCTTGCGTGCTTGCACATCTTTTCTCCTATTTCACCTCCTGAAAAGAATAGGTGCTGACATTTCGTCGTTTGCATGGTGCCGAACGAGAGATGCGTTAGCATAGCGGTGAGATGGGTAACGCACCGCAAACACACATTAGGGGTACCATAATATCTAGCGTTGGGCTGGGCTGGGCCTAGTCAGGCACCGTCGTTGAAGGAGGGCGCTGGCTCGTCATTCGAAATGGCGACCAGAACTTCAACAACTTCTGGCAGCTGTTGACGGAAGCAGGGCCCGCTAGGGCGCTGACAGATTCGTAACAGCTCCCTCTCTTGGTATGGGCGAAGCTGGCCGATCGCAGGGTCTACATACTTAGTATACTTGTCTTGCGAGGATAATGGGTAAATTAAACACTGCTCAAAACAATAGTTTGGCAGAATTCTCTCTAAGCGAGTGATGATTGCGTTAACGGAACAAGTCCGAACCTTGACGAGAGTCGATCTTTCATGCTCGATATTTCTCTTACGGCATTGATGGCTGTTGGTGATGGAAGCCGCGCAGGATGGCTAGAAGGTTGGCCGCTGTGAGTCAGGTTGATAGATGCTAGAATGTGCCATGAGCCGAAGAGCCTCAGGCGGCCAGCGCGGTAGAGGGTTTGTTTGACTTCTATATTTGTCTTTGTCTATGTCCCACGACCTGTATCCTCTGGACAATGCGTAAAAGTTGTTTCACAATGCCGCCACGGTCCTGGTGTTGAGGCTTGCGCAATGTTACCTACCGCAGTGGCGAGAAGAGCATTGTATCCACGTCGATGTCGATCTGGTCTGAATCCAAGCATGACGAACGGACCATGTGTTTCGAGGCAGACTCTGCATTAACGCCACGGCCCTGTCTAGGGTTTTGGCTAGAGACATTGGAGTCAAAGGAGAGAGACCAAATCGTGGGTAGTCATACGACGGGGCGTCGTGGGGCTCGGTAGCTCGGAGCATGCCCTATGAAACGATAGCGGAAAATCATGGGACAAGCATGCTGCGAGAACGATGCGGGGTCCTCATTCGTTGGTGTAGTGGGCGAAGGGCCAGAAGGGGTGTAAGAAACGACGATGCAAACCTTCTGGCCGGCAGGCACGACGAAAGCGGCTAGCCCCAAGCTTGGATGTTTTCGACTCCACAGTGCACAGAGCCTCACCCTTGCTCCTCTCTTGCTCTCTGTACGACAATCTACTCAGGCACGATCGCCGGCCCGGCAATTCATTCCATCGCCATGTGAAGCCCTGCGTGCACACGATGCCCAGGGAAATCTCCCGCCACAAATGTTTCCGTACATATCCGAGCTGTAACCCAAGAAACATGTCTGAGAGCCGAGGCAGCCTCGAAAGGGGGGTGAGATACATCAAAGCTCTGTGTATACACCCCTATCGACATTTCTAATCGGAACACCTTCACGATTGGCAAGAGATTGTCCGATAAATGACGTCTTCATGGCAATAGCTTATACTCATTAACTCTGCACGATGCTGCAACCTCCAGGAAGCAAGGGAACGGAGACACCAGCGTGCTCGATAGCCGTATTAGCCGATTTCCAATGCTTTGCATACATGGCAGATCGTCAGAAAGTGACAAATTAAGCAAGCACTAAATATTGCCCATGAGTCTTTGCCGGACAAGAAGCTGGGGCCGCTCGTCCCACTGACAATATTCGGCAAGGAAATAACCCGCATCGCATGCCCCTGCAGCACATCCGGGCTCTATCCTGCAGGTACACTACGTCGATCGCACAGAATACGGCAGTGCACAGTTGCAAAAAGAGAGAGCCTGATTGCCTGAAACGGCCATAGTCTAGACCCCTGGCTGACTGTACCCTCTTTTGGCACTACTCGTGCGAAAGATAGTAGCTTGATGCGGGAGCCAAGTTTCGAAACAAGACCAGAATAGCTCCAGCAGGAGCCCGACGCCACGACAGGTGTGGATGTACTGGTCGACTGTCGTGAAGGGGGGGCATTTCTGAGTATAAGATGGACTCGTCCGACCTCGAAGAAAAATCATCACAACATCTCACACTTTCGCTTTCTACTTCCATCGCTCGCCTACAGTCTTTCGTTTGTGCAGCGCACTCATATTCGCTATCTTCAATTCCCAAGTAATACTCAAAATATACATCGATTTAATCGACTATCGTCTTTTTAACTAAGAATCTCTAAACTCGAAATCAGCAATCATGAAGTACCACACTGCTCAGATCCTGGCTCTTACCAGCATCGTCTCTGCTCTTCCTCACCCTCAACGCTATGGCGGCGGCTCAGGTGTTCAGCCATCTGCCCCATTGACAACTGCTCCTGCTAGCAGCGGCCCTACCTACGACGACCTGCCAGCCTCTGGTTCTACTCCTCCTGCTGGAGGCCGTCCCGGAGGCTCTGGTCCCGCTCCTCCCGCTGGAGGTCGCCCAGGCGGCTCCACCCCTACTCCTCCTTCCGGCGGTGCTTCCTACGGTGGAGGTGCTGCTCCTCCCGCTGGAGGTGCTGGAGGCTACGGCAGCGGCTGGGGACTTGGACTTCCTCTCCTAGGTGGAGGTGCCAAGGGCGGACTTGGTGGCCTAGTTGGCGGCGGTGCTAACGGCGGAGCTGGCATTGGTGGACTCGTTGGTGGTGGTGCCAACGGAGGTGCTGGTCTCGGCGGACTCGTCGGCGGCGGTGCTGGTGCCGGTGTTGGTGGCCTCGTTGGTGGAGGTGCCAACGGAGGCGCTGGCCTCGGCGGACTTCTTGGTGGAGGTGCCTACGGAGGCGCTCATGGAGGAGCTGGTGCTGGCCTTGGTGGACTTGTCGGCGGCGGTGCCGGTGTTGGTGGCCTCGTTGGTGGAGGTGCCAACGGCGGTGCTGGTCTCGGTGGACTCCTCACCTACAGCAAGTCTGGCTATGGCGATGCCAACGCAGGTGTCGGCGGCAGCGCCGGTGCTGGCCTCGGCGGTCTCATCGGCGGCATCGTCGGCGGTGCCAAGGGCGGAGCCAGCGCAGGTCTCGGCGGCCTAGGTGGTATCATCGGAGGCGCCAAGGGCGGAATTGGTGCTGGTGGCTATGGCGGAGCTGGTGTTGGCGGCTCCGTTGGCGGAGGTGCTGGCGTTGGTGCTGGTGCCGGTGTTGGTGCTGGCGGCTCCGTCGGTGGAGGAGCTGGTGTCGGCGGTGGTGCCCACGGCGGAGTTGGTGCTGGTGTTGGCGGCTCTGTCGGCGCCGGTGTTGGCGGCTCTGTTGGCGGAGGTGCTGGTGTCGGTGTCGGTGCTCACGGTGGTGTCAGCGGCGGTGTCGGCGGTTCCGTCGGTGGTGGTGCTGGCGTCGGTGCTGGTGGCTCTGTTGGCGGTGGTGCTGGTGCTGGTGTTGGCGGCTCTGTTGGCGGCGGTGCTGGTGCCGGTGTCGGTGGCGGTGCTAAGGGAGGTGTTGGTGCTGGTGTCGGCGGTTCTGTTGGCGGAGGAGTTGGTGCTGGTGTCGGCGGTGGTGCCGGTGCTGGTGTCGGTGGTGGTGCTAAGGGAGGTGTCGGT